TAATAATGTCAGAACTAAATTCTATATGTTTTATGCGTGATTGACTGTTCCTGGCGCCAGCAACACATTCAAGTGTATGTGTTTATTCCAACGTAATACAAAGTGTTTTCTAAAATTTATGAATTTATACGTATAATGAGAATCAGCTACCTCTTTTTTTTGAATAACATACAGACACAGTTATAATAACACCCACAATTTATTGTGCTGGCGACCCAGAGCTATGCACTTACAATTGAATACACATTATACAACATTAAATAGCAAATATGTCGAATTACACAATAGTATCAAGCTGCATTCTGGTTCATTGTTCATCTAATGATTTGTCATCTCATTTCAAAGTTGTACACGTCTTCCATCAGCTGGGTCTATGTTAAATTTAACTTTTTTTATTTCAGTGTGTCAAGAGTAGCATTATGATACATCGCCTGGTGAAACGGGGTGCGGTGTTTATACTACTGTACGCACTCTATTCATCAGTAAAGTGGAGCAATTCATTATCTAAGGATGTGACAATGAATGTGTCTATGACTGCACGGAAGATTGAATTGAAACAAGACCAACCCATCACCGTATTAATAAATGCTAGAATGCGCACAGGATCATCTTTGATTGGACGTTATTTGTCGAACAACCCTGACAGCATGTACCTATACGAACCGGAACTCGCTTTACGATACAACACTTCTCTTCACTACAATGTATTTAACGACAGTGCAGCACACCTAGAGAAACTTCAAAATCCATTCTACGAAATTATTGAGGGATTCTTTGATTGCGATTATACAAGAAGATCTGAACTGCTACCTTTTATGAACGAGAGAGATTGGCTGAAATCATATAATGGCTTTGCTCTCCTGAAAGGGTCCCAGTTTAATGCTAAGCGACTCAATGAAATATGTAAGACAAAAAGGCACCGTGTGGTAAAGACGGTGCGAATAAATGATATTTCAAAAGGTTTGAGTACGTTAAAAAAGTACGATGTGAAAGTTATCCAGGTTGTTAGGGATCCCCGCGGAATGATTAACTCGAGAATAAACTTTGAGAAACAGCATTTGCAACCACGAGACAAACGAGATCTAATCGTGAGGAAAGCCAGTGATGCTTGTAGAGACTACTGCATATGGCTAAAAACAAACATAGACTCTGTCCTTAATGGACCGAAGTGGTTGAAGGAACACTATTTGATCGTGCGATATGAGGATCTGATTGAAAGACCGCGAAAACTTGTACCGAATATGCACCACTTTATTAGTATACCTACAAACATGACAGACGCCATTTTAAGCAACCAGACATTACGACCAGACAGTGCATTTGCATGGCGACACAGTCTACCATATTACCAAACACGTACTGCGCAGAATAACTGCCCTGACGAAATATTTGAAACACTAGGTTATGTGAAAGTTCAGAATGAAAACCAGCAACGTAATGTGTCATTCTCCCTTTCGACGTCACCAAATATCAGTAAACTAACCTCCCTGGCTTAGAAACACCACAATGTATAATGCTAATAATTATTTGAGTCATAAAACAGATAGTCGTATATCACGTGTTAGTTGAACCAAAGGCTATTGACCTTATTCCTAATAATATGTTCAATTTGTTTGTTCATTTTAAATTACGCAGCAGCATGGCGCCACATCATTCATTCCTTCAAACGTGCATTGTGTTTATGTATCAATATACAGGCAGCGAATGATCACAATACCAAACCTACAGTATTCCTCATGTGACGGATACTGGTTTGGATATAGGATGAAAAAAGTTGACACTCATTGGTTTATTAAACAGGAAAAGATGTACGTATTTTATTGGTGTCTCCAGGTAAACAATAGTAATAGATTATACTTCTGTTAATACATCGGCTAGTCCCAGTTTTGCGTTTTGCTCCAAATGTAACTACCTTATTATTATTAGTCACAAATTGTTATTAATTTATTTTTATCTCGGACTACGAATAGTTTATGGGGTACTTTGTTAAAACACTGTTATTGTCACAGAGTAAGGTATCAAATATCAAATGTATAAGTTATACAAATCATTGTGATGAACATGTATTTAATTTGTATAAGGGTATTTTATATACACTACAGATGATATTTAATACTTGCACGTCTATTTTCTGCTCTTTAATAATAAAAATGTGTTTCAGTATATAGAATATGCACGATTGTCCTAGTACGCTTATTATAATACGAAGTTTAATAATATGATATTTGAAATGACACTATATTGTCAATGGTATGTAATGTTTACTTTCTTTTGCATAAGTTAAACTCTATTTGTAGTATGAATGAGACTTGTATTCGTCGAATAAGTTTAAAATAGTAGGTTTAGTAATAAAATACCATAATATATAATATTTTATTGCAAGACTGATATATAAAATATAAAATATAAGATCCTGGATTGTAAAATCAGGAGACGTGATGATAGTGACACTGTATACTGATGCTAATATTTAATATGTACATTGGCGATGCAGAAGTGTCAAATGAAGTGACCTGTTATAGCGCCAGCATAGATCACCCTAAATAAATATCACAACGCCATATAAAAAGGAGCTACTCATAGGTTACGTACAGTGTCAAGAAAGGAACATAAAAAAAGATCAGAAACTGTATAAACCGGGTGTACCCAAGTGATGTGCTGAGCGTTCTCAATGTGTAATGTGTGTAATCGATCTTGACAACAGGTTGTCACATCTAATGCAAGTACTATCAATATATGTGTAGCAGTCAATAAAAATGTTAAACAATTCTAAACGTCATTTATTGCAATATAAGTATAGTTTTCGTTAGTGTTACAATCAGCGGTCAATTCAGCTCATAGTAGTGACTCTAAAAAACAATGTTACACAATCCATGAAAATGAGTAAAACCTCGAACACTAGAACAGGAATTGAATGATGTGGTTACAAATAGGGGGAGAAAACTGGCTGCCCATCAAGAAAATAATGACATGACACAATGGCAGATCAAATGACAGAACAACTTTTATTTGGGGAGTAGATGTAGCTAAACAGGGTGAACTGACTGGAGAAGTAAAAACTATGAATCTGATCATCAATGATTTAAACAATCAACCAAATGACACATAGCTAAAATGCACTTGACTCACTTGAGATACATTGTTTGTTTTCATACTGAACTTTCACATAACCTTTCGTTTCAAATATGTCGTCAATAAAGTTATTATGCGCAGTACGTGTTTGGTAATATGGTAGACTGTGTCGCCATGAAAATGCACAGTCTGGTCTTAATGTCTGGTTGCTTAAAATAGCGTCTTTTATGTTTGTAGATATACCAATAAAGTGGTGCATCTTCGGTACAAGTTCTCGCGGCCTTTCAATCAGATCCTCGTATCACACGATCACATTCAGGACAGAGTCTATGTTTGTTTTTAGCCATATGCAAGCATCACTGGCTTTTCTCACGTATGTATCTCGTATTTCTTGTGGTTGCAACTCTTGTTTTTCAAAGCTTATTCTCGAGGTAATCATTTGAATAACTTTCACATCGTACTTTTTTAACGTACTCAAACCCTTTGAAGTATCATTTATCCGCACCATCCGGTGCTTTTTTGTCTTGCATATTTCATTTAGTCTATTGGCATCAAACTGAGGTCCTTTGAGGAGAGCAACGCCATTATATAATTTCAGCCAATCTTTCTCGTTCATAAAAGTTGGCAGTTCAGATTGCCTTGTATAATCGCAATCAAAGAAGCCCTCATTAACTTTGCTGTTGTTCGACAAATAACGTCCAATCAAAGATGATCCTATGCGAATTCTAGCATTCATTAAGACGGTGATGGGTTGGTCATGTTTCAATTCAATTTTCCGTGCGGTCATACCCTGGCATGATGAATTGCTCCACGTAACTGATGAGTAGAGTGCGTACAGTAGTATGAATACTGCACCCCATTTCACCAAGCGATGTCCCATAATGCTACTCTTGAAACACTAAGATATAACAAGAAATAATACAGGATATTGTGTTGTAGTGGTTGTATGTACCATATGCAAATACAACAAAGGATAATATGAATGTACGTCAGTGTGATATTTCAAAAGAGGAGGCAGCTGCTATATATATAGTTCTGATATATATATATATATATAGCATATTAATAAGGTTATTACGAGGATACCTCTAAGTATGCACTCAGACAGTACACCGTCGCAGGAATTACGTAGGAATAAATAAATACACTTGGATGTGCGGCTGGCGCTAGGGATAGTCAACCATACTTAAAAACATATACAATTTAGTTCTGAAATTAGTGTTAGCAGATTCGGCGTATCATCGCGTAATTGAGCTTTGAATAACAGATCATCTTACAAATTGAATCCAGCAGATTACATATAGCAAGGCAATGTACAGCAAGCAACTCTCTCATCAGCAAATACATAACATATAAGTAGACTCAGTATTCTAACTAGACGTGTGTATGTATAAATGTTGGTGCATTGTTACCTCCTATATTATCAGTAAACTATTGTGTTGGTAAAGTTTGACTTCAGAAATGCTGGGTAGTAGAGTCACCGCCTTCGCTCCAGTAAAGACTGAAATCCCTCAATAGAGGTAGCAATTTCCCCCAGTGTTGAATGACATGGAACTCCACATAAGCATTACGACCACATTCATCATTTAAATATAGTAATCTCGAGTCAACAATGCACACAACACACTCAATTGACTCACTCTTAACCAGCTTGCCAAATTAAAATATTGATGTCACGAACTCAACAGATTGACAACTCAGGGCGGATTTATTTACAATATATAAAGGAAGGCTTAAACGTGATGACAACTTTATGTGTTATTAAATCTGTTATGAAATGATAGACATGACTCAGAAACAATCTTAACAAAATTAAAATATATTTTTTGACAATATCATTTCGCAACTCGAATGCGTGATCTGTTGTATTAACCATATATTAAATATTGAATATGGGTGTCATGTATCATCGCGAAATTTCTCAGAACTGAGTATTAGAAAGAGAATTGTATTGATCAGATGCGAATACAAAAATGCTGGGCGATAAGCTGTTCATGTGGTAATTCAAAAAGACGAAACAGCTTGTTCATATTCACCATCATTAATAATGATTATTGTGATCATCAATACTTTTGTATATATAAAATATGCCGCAGAACATGAATCACTTTTCTAAATTTAGCAACAGCAACTATAGCATTAAAAATGAAATGTTTGAACTGTAGACAGATTTTATTAGGACGTTTCTGACAATGGTATTTTTAATAAAAGCTTCAGTGTCATCTTATATCGTGGTTATGATAATTGCTATTTAAACTACATGGCATGTGTAACTGAATACAGATGGTGGAAAGCGACCAAAATACACTAGGCTTGTAATGAGATGTAATGAGAAGTTAGATCATACTTGCAGAGATCTAATAACAATGACATATAATGCAATTCACATTTAAACGCAGAATTGTACTGTCACAACTGAATCAATCACATCTTAAGCACACTCAGTGTCCTATATTACTTTGCAACAGTATTGTATCTGAATTCAAAGAATAGGAACGACTTGACAACTTCAGGACAAACTTACAAAAGTAAACATACAATGAATTAAGTATAGATAATTGCAACTTCGCATCGTCTATTTATTTGCAAAGCCATAAGTGTTATTACGATTTAAATACAATAATGTTGAAGCCGAGCTTATAATGTGCTAGCCACAACAATTGCTATTATCGAATTGTACGATGATGAAATAAAATTGAAATCAAGCAATTGTTTTTAACAATAGTGCCAAACTGTCGTAATTTACATTTATGGTTAATTTACAGTGTGTATTTTAGGTTTCAATATATACCAACTGATATTGAAAGCATCATTCGATTACTTGTATCTATAGTATTTATCACGGTACGAGGTGTCTCGAAGTAATTATGAAAAATGAACATGTGAACAAGTGAATCACAGTCGCCGGTTATCTGGGACTCACGGGGTGACCAACACCGCTGGTTGCGCGCCACAGCTTGACACTCATCAGGGCCATTCATACACTCACAACTACTTAGTCCTATGATTTCAGTTATTATTTTTAATTTAATTTAATTATGGATAAAAGTCCGTCGACAATCATCCTGATTAGTGAGGAGGGTTTAACACACTGGCTATATTACGTTAAAAAAATCGTGATACATTGATTCAAAACGCAACAATTGGATCTTGGGCTTGGTTCTAAAACGAGTAAAAAAATACATTGTTTATAGGTAACTAAGAGACGTGCTGCATGGCAACTGCTGCGCTGTAAATGCTTGATCGCAGTAAGTAAAGAAAGTGGTGACATACAAAATAAATATACACTCCCTACTAAAATGTACACACATTGTACCAGTAAATATTTAGACAAGATAAAGAAAATTCAAATTACACAGAAAATGCATTCTGCGTGTAGTTAAAAAAAGTCTTTGGCAGCATGGGTAAATCATAGTCCAATATACATAAAATTGTTCACCATGTTTCTATGTATAACTTGTGTGTAAATTACAGAATCCCGACTACATGCATATTACATATTTCCAACTGATTTGCATATGCTCATTTGCTTATAAAACTACACACCTACATTAGAGTACAATGTAATATTACAATCATATGTATGCTAGGGAACGCCAAAGACGAGAATTTTGAAATTGAACAAAAAAACACATATTTCGCTTCTCTATTGCTTCGATATCTTAGACCCTTTCTATTTTAATACTTAAAGTAATCATTTAAGTCACACGAATTGGAGAGTGAGTGCCGAAATTTATTCTTGATCGGATGACATTGCACAACCCTATGATTGTTTGCGAGCATTCGACCTAATAAATAGTGGTGACGCAGTTAAACATATGTTTTGTGTGAGAAAAAACTGCTAAAGAACATTTTCAAAGGAATGCACATTAAACGCATTATTATATTAAAAATTATTCTTTAGCAATTTTCTAATTATTCAGAATAATTTACCCCGCTACATGTATTTGCACAACATTTTTTGATACTTTACCATAAAAACAATAGTAAATCTATGAAAAAATTATCATGAATGAATAGATGAGTGACCCTGATTTTATGTACAAGGTACTTCGCTGACGAATATTTACATTGTTTAACAACATACATGTGATATGACCATAAGCAGTACTCGAATTTCAGTTATCACTTAAGCGAACTTCGAATTACTTCGAATGCAAACATATTATAAAAAATATTAAACAAATTCGTGACTGCTTCGAGTAGTCGTTTTTCTCCGCCCAGGCGTAACCAGTAGTTGCTCGCCACGATTATTATATTTTAATGCAGGTCTTTATTGATCGAGTAATAGTCATTCTAGGCACATACTACAGACTCGTGAACGCTGTTTTTACAATTTTAAATAATCCCCTTCCCACAGCGCACCATTTTCAACTTTTGGCACCAGCGACAAAATGGAAACTGATTTCATACTGTCTGCTGAAATAATAAAAGTAGAAAAACTTGGAAATTTACCAAAAACGCGTGTCCCAATTTGTTAGTCTCATTTAGTTAGGCATTACAGTAGATAGTTTAAAAAGTTTTTCCACCGTACATCAAGGTTATATATATATATGTAATTTATTGGTATGGTTTGATGGTAGTGATTAGATTAGCTTTTTTTCTCTTCCAAACAGAAACAGTTCATAACATCTTAGCCTTTGATTATAACTGCATATCATTTGATTTACCCATTATGTAACCCGCTAAGCAATCATCTTTTTAAAACAAGTCCTTATGTTACATTATCACTGGCTTGAATAAAGTAACACAATTTATAATATTTAATTAGGATTCAGCTCCAATGCATATCATGACATGACACATAAAATCTGTACATCACACATTACTTGTTATACACTCCTTGCATAATTTGTGTTTTCTGTAGATATTTTTTTTAAACTCAAGTCAGGGCTTTTAACTTATTTGGTAATTAACCTCAGGTTTGCCATTCAGAAAGCGGTTATAGGCATTCAACTCAGTAATCAATGATGACGTCAATTAATTACAAACTGATTTAATCAAGATTGACATATTCCTGTCTGTTGTGACCTGGCTTCGGTCGTACAACTGAGTTGCACTTCTAACTCGATGAAGACAATATCAATGGATATGCAAACAGGGTCTACAAAGACGAACAAATATGTTCATTATTATCTAACCCTCGATTGACTTTGTGTCGATTCTATATATATGTAAGTACGTAGTAACGTGTTCGTGTAACGTTGTCGCGTGGGTGTGACCACCGTCATCATGACGCATACACCGTCACATTCAGTTTAACTGATATAGAATGGATGGAAAGCCAGGGGATGTTCTGTTTCCAGTGTTGATATTCGTTTGCCGACAGAAATGATTTTTCCCGAAATGTCTAATTGGCTCTTATATGTTGCATCAGCGTTGTTGCTCCTAGTTTCATCTACCGCGGTAGGTGAGTAACTATACTATGTTCAGCTCTTTGTTCATGTGTTGATTCCCCTAGTACATTAACACAAGACATACTTTCACACAAAGCTACATTTATTCTGGTAGGTTCTCTCGATCCTACTGTTTTGTACAGGTTCATTCATACTCACAATAAAATCTGAGCCAATGGTTACTCCGATCTGTTTCTACATTATAAACCGAGTTGCCTTTTTCCAAACAGGTTATTCGATGTCTGCTTTTCCAAATGTTTTTCACGCACAAGGAACACATTATTTGAACATTAATTTTACCCCGCTTCTTCCAGTAAAAAAACACTGGATCACTCGTAATAAAAACGTGTATCTCCCTCCCCCGCAGTGTCACAATTTTGTAAACACGAGACCTGTTAAATACTGCTATATTAAATGGAGTAGATCATTTCGAAACATTGAATATATGCGTATCAAATAATCCGCTTTATTCTTTAAGCTTTATGTTTGTGTTTGTTACGGAAGTTATGCTGGTATGTAATGGGCGTGGATCATATGACATCATGTTTAGATGTCTTTTAATAACGTTGAAATGACAGATCTCTCGAAAAGCTATGACGTTGTCGAGTAATATCTATCATGCTGCATTATGGTTCACTCCTCCAACTACAATACCACTTTTAAATAATTGTGACCAATCCCAAATGTTGCAAAATTGTTCACACAATTACACTCGAGTGTGTGCGTACACACTCATTAAATGAAATATTGTATTAATTATCGCCAACACACTCAAGCCTTGGTACACATCCGGTGAAAATGTATGCTAATTAACTAAGAGCAGTAACTATTAAACTGTGAATTGACGTGGACAGGTTAACACGACTTGATATCACAGATGAATTAAACCCCGGCGTAGACACGAGAACTGAATAAGTGCATTACTCAGTCTTCAACAAATTAAAACGTGTTAATGCATTAGGAACTAGTGTTTGAAATGGTTGATTTAAGATTGAATATGGGTTTAATACATTAATGCCAAACAATTATACCGAATGAATGGAATGAATATTAAGTGTAGGTGTAATTCACAGCTTTTCAATAATCTCAAATAAACGGAGAACTATGTTTTACAGTAGAATCGTGTTGAAACGTTATTGTCGTACACTAATTTCGGTAGTGTTTGCTAATCGATCATTAAAGATAAAAGTATTTTCCTGCATGATAATTACCAAAATGTTTTTGTTTCATTTTGTTGCAGTCGAAAAGAGAAACAAACTTCCAACTAATCTTCCCAATACTTATGTACTCTTTTTTGTTCTAGAATCTGGCGGTGCTGGTGGTGACACCCACGCACTTCTAATCAATACCCTTTTGAGCAACTATTCTAAATACACTCGACCAGTGATAAACGCAACAACTACAACAGTTGTGTCCCATCGTATACTGCCTATACAAATACTTGATGTGGTAAGTTTATGATGATTGGTTGGTCTGTTCAGGTTGGCAGGCACATGCTGATTGACCACGTGGTTCAATGAACATATTAAATTAAAAAAAAAGAAAGAATCGAAAAGTACTTCTGAGTGTTCCAGCAATTTGGTTTAATAACCTACGTGTCATATAGCTGAACCTGCCAGCAATCCATTAATTTGGTCACTTGGTCATCGTGAATTTATAAATAATCGCATGTACTAAATTTGTAGGCATATGTATGCTTAATGTGTGCCGCAATGTTGGATTTTTAACAAACTGGAAGAGCGCCATTTTTGCCCTTTTAGTCCCACTTTTTTTGTAAAGCTATGAAGATTTGTTTTGTTTTGGAAAGAGGTGACAATCATAGTTCACAATCATTGAGTTCACCACTTTGTTTGGCATTGATTAGGACTGAATAGATTGTTCACAAAAAGATTCCTTGTAGCTAAATCAATGATAAGACTGCATCCTCTGTTGGCCTTTATTTAAGACTGAGCACAACTACATCTTAGCATTAAATTGTCTTTTATCAGGACGAGAAGAATCAAATTATAACGCTAAAGGTTTGGTTGGCACTGGTAAGTTTATTTTGCTTACATTGGTATAACATCATCACATATGTAACTGTGCTGACATATTCTTTAATCATTTGAATCTATTATATGATAATCGCCAGAATGCACGTGATTAACCATCGTAATCGTTCGACTAATCATTGGATAAATACATTATATACAAGTATACAATTCCAGAAAAAAACATTTTGCGATAGTTTTTTATAATATGCAAACAAAGAAGAGTTTGTAATTTGGCCGCTGGTCATATTTTCATATAGATCATTGATTGATTTGTAATTGCTGCAGTATGGCAATGTAATATGTCCCAATACGATTCTTATCAACTAGTATAACATATGTTTAGTGCTCGAGGGAACTCTTGTATACTACTTTTTATTACATCAAGTCTGTGAACAACCACAAGGGGGTACTATGTGGATAATCTTCTTAAATAATTACATTTATCAGAGATGGTATGACGAATTTCTTACATGGAATCCATCTGACTTTGGAGGCATTAATGTAGTCAACATTCCAGTTGATCTGATATGGCAACCAGACATATACTTATATGGAAGGTACGTGACAGTAATAATAGTTATTCAGGCTGAATATATTATATTTATATTTTTACATTACTTTGAATAGTTTCAAATTATAATGAGTTTGTGCCAGAAACACTTGAGAAACCATGTCTATATAAAATGTTGCCATGTTGGTCGATTATATTTTTGGTTTTAGCTATGATTTTATCTATCGGTTATGGTTAGGCATAACTAACAATATCTACTGGTGATCAGTATAACCCGTGTTTACAGTTGAATCAAAACTAATATACAAATATTTGATACGTTGGAAAAAGCTAATAACAAGCACGCTGTTAGCGTTAGGTAGCCAATCACGCACAATCTTTGAAGTATTTTTGCATTGACTCCGTATTTATTGTTTATCTGCAGTACATCTAAAGACTTCGTTAGACATCTTGACACCGATGTCCAAATATACCCAGATGGTTTAATAATTGCACCTCAACCTGTTATTTACAAATCAACATGTGAAATAGATGCTACGTTTTTCCCGTTCGACCAACAAGAATGTTATCTGAAGTTTGGGTCATGGACGTATGATGGATTTCGAATTGATCTTGATATTTACCCTAATTCAGGGAAACTCGACAATTATATTGCAAACGGCGAGTGGCATTTATTTGAAATACCAATTGTTAAACACGTGGCGTTCTATATTTGTTGCATCGAGCCCTACCCGGATATAACATATACATTGATCTTTCAACGCCGGTCTCTCTTCTACTTTTACACACTGGTCATACCAGCCATTCTTCTTTTCGTACTGGTCCTCGTTGGCTTCTACCTACCATCGAACTGTGGTGAAAGGATGACGCTGTTTGTTACAAGTATGTTAGCTCTGATAGTGTTCCTAACTTTGGTCAGTGAATACATGCCACCGACATCGAATTCGACGCCGTACTTACGTAAGTAGTCTACAATGAAACTAAACACCACAAAACAAATTGGAATATTAGCCCATATTACCTTCTTCACCATTTTTTAGAAAGTATATGAATAAATAAAGAACGTACACTGTGTGTGATGTAGATCGTCTTTGAATTATGAAAATTATAAACATCTTTATTGAAGCTATCCTATAATTCATCATTAATAAAACGGTAATTAAAATTATCCTGCGTTGTTTCAACAGAACGCTACCTGTTATCCATGATTGGCTTTGTATCAGCAGCGTCGGTTCTGACGGGAATTAACATCAACATACACTTCCAGGCACCCGGATGTCCACCAATTCCCCGATGGCTGCAAAACGTGGCGTTCAATTATTTGGCCGTGATTGCGTGCATGCGTGGAAGAGTGAAAACGTATTTGAAGCATCAGATTGAAGCTATGTCTGAAAATGAATATTCAGGCAACAAAGAAATAGAAGCAAGTCATGGTACTATAGACGATGCAGAACATGTTCGTCAGAAGTCACTAATTCTACAAGCGGACAATATATCGTATAATTATCGTGTCCAGGGTTGGCAATTATTAGCTCAAATTCTAGATAGAATATTGTTGATATGTTTTCTTTTGGCATTCGTTAGTATTTCCGTAGGAATGTTTACTTTTCTGTATACGCAAAAGAAGGGTCCGTCACATGCGCATTAATATATAAAGATGTTCACTCGAAGGTATCAACATATAAATTCTAGTATGACATAAATGTTGTTGTTCGAAAGATACTTCCATATCAGTTCTACATATAATACACATCTTTGGCAGTGCATATATTTATTTTTGTAAACAAACCTGTATTGTGCTGAATGAATCTATAATCATTAATTACTGCGTAAATTATTGCCATGAAAAATCCATACAAAACATGATATGTTTACCTGGTTGTTATTAGTGCGTATACAATAAGATTTATCAGTATAGACACTTAAATGTATTATTATTATTATTATTATTATTACAAATTCATTTAAAAAATGAAAACAAAACAACAACAAAATATCAAAATTTTCATGTTTTGGTTCCCTAACGCCACGCTACACTAGAATTATAATGAATACACAAAAATGTTGCTGTACGTTCGTTGATTCAATCGTATATACTTTTTGAAACTAAATTGTCTAGATACTATAACTGGAAAATTATGAGTTTTATTTTGTGCCTTCTTGATGTTCAATGTTCAATTGGTTAAATAGTATTAGTTACAATTGACGATGTGTCACCATATTTAAAGTAAATATTATCTTTAAAAAAGCACTGGGGTATATATCATAAAATCAATTTGGTTTAGCTACATAGTTTGTATCACAATGTATGATGTATAATTTGACAATGATCACTTAAATTGAATTATTATTTCACTATAGCTATTTCAATTCATGTATGTACAATCTACCTAAGATGTGTTGTCACGTAGATGTTGATATAAAGTTATCAATTAAAGTGAAAATATTGTGTAATTGTTCTACTATGCTAAAAAAAACAACTATCGAAAATAAATTAGGTAAATGTTGTAACCTCAATAATAATACGAGATAATATTGCAGTGTGTTACAACCAGTGCCAAACATTACAATTTTCTTAATTTACCTGAAAAAAAAATATTCCGCAAAACTCATTCTTACAAATAGTGACACGTCAATAACACGTTGTTCTGCGATTCATTGTGACGGAGTCATGGTCTTAGAATTTCATGTTCGTTCATAGTTTGTCAACGCCAAAACTGAAATTACTTTTTGTATGTAGGCATTTGTGGCTTTCATCTGGCATTTGCATACAATATACATTAACCGAAGACATTTACTAACAGTTTTCCCAGCATTTAAGCAAGAAGTCATATTTACATCACATGTTGAAATTCACGGAAAATGCACAGTATGGTAGAAGAAACACAATGTTACTATGTTTAGCCGTGTTGGGACAGCTATTAAGAAGAATGAATAAAATTATCACAATTCCATATGACTTCAATAACGTTCTATTAACTTTATCATATTGTAGGTTATGTGTTGACATTTTTAAGGATTCGCTCATTAAATATTAGCTAAGAGTTTAATATTTAACATTACATATTCAATCGTATAATTATATGTAATTCGTCATTGACAATTAATTGATAAATTAGTATCTTATGTAAAAAGTAGTTGTAGTACATTTCTTATGTGTATGGACAGAGACCTCTCGATATGTAAAGTATATAGATTTCGTACACAAACCTACGATCTTTTTGTTATTTTAAAAGTAACATGATGTGTAATCAAAATTATAAATCCATTCAATAATTGTAATTGTTGACGTTATGGTTTAAATATATTCCTCTATGTTATAGACATAGATCATTTCATATGTGGGATTATTATCTATGATTATCAGAAATATACATATAATCAAATAAATATGTGATATAACATACTAGTTAGTTTCCTCTACATGTTAAACTTTGTAATGAAAATTACATTTTTAAGACTTCTGTTTTACTGTTATAGCAAACAGTGATGGCAAACATAAATGTATATGTCATTGCAACTACATGGTTTTACATTTACTTGCTGGAATAAAAATAAAAAACATAACCAAACGCATTTTGTAATTCACTTGTTTATATTCATAATGCACCGTACGGAGCATTCAACTAGTGTTTACAGTAGAACATTTACGTAACGCCCAAAAGTCCTGCCTTGGGTATACGAATAACAACGCCGATTTACAATATCACTATGTATCATGAACGCAAATATATGGACAAAGTCAGCCTACACAATGTCGAGTAGTCGCTATTTTGTTATGATCGATCACGTGATGGGAACCGTATGACATTTGACGCATCCTATTTTGGGAATAGGCACAATAAAATTGCCAGTGAAAAGCCGGAAAGAAGGACTTAGCCTCTAAGGCTGGCACTATTTCAATAAACGACGCCCTTTTGAGAATTTGACGCAACTCCATTTTTTTTATTTGCAAGTGTTTTAGAACATTGCACATCCACTTTTTAAACACATTCATATATGCGAATAAAATGCAAGTAAAATATATCGCAATAACACACGTGCTACATTATCAGAATATGGCAGGTTATAACGCATTCCATGTCTACAGATGTGTGCATATTATATATGTTGTTTATTTATGAAACTGATCTTTCCCGACAACTCAATATTTACTAATTTATGTAAAAACTCTATGCTGCCTCCAAATCACAAAAATAATTAAAACAAATAATCAACTAGGCCACCGAAATCATCTCTATGCACTATTAGGAACATAGTGATATTTAAGTTGATGTAATATTTAACTGTATTTTCAAGTGATTTCAATATAATTTTCAATCTGATTCCGTTGATGCCATAGAAAATTCTCCTATATAATTCCCATGCTTATTTTGTCGTATTAAATATTAATTGTAAATACTTTATTGCAATTATTATTATCATTCCCAAGTTATTCCCTGTTGAACAGAAATACGGCTTTTATACCCTTGTTGTTCTACGTCATTGAATCTCGTGTCGATGTCAACGGTTCTACGAAGTCGGAACTATTTTAAGAGAGTCTTAGTTCTCGAAATAAAAAAATAACTAATAGTCATGTTTGTCTTTAAAGGTAGTGAAAGAAACATTCCAACACGGAGACATTTGGTTACAACCCATTTTCAATCAATTAGTGAATGAGTCACCGCTCTACTGAAAACCACGTCCAAACTTCGGAGACGTGTCTTCTGGCAGAGTGACGACGCGCGCGACCATAGGCGCAATATAAAAGCCTACTGTAAGCTGTGGAAAATTTTGTAATTTTTCTGCCTTCGTTAGGAATAACCCAGAAGAGTAACTCAATTTTTGTTCACCGAATAAGCAGTGTGTTTGGCTATGTTCACGAGATAAATTGTGCTTGCACTAAAGTTTGTAAAGCGTGGATCGCCCTAGGCCATGCACTGGCCTTTCAGTTTGGTAGGGGTGTGCGGCCGGGAAGTAAAACCCCAGACCCCATAATAGACCATTTTCACCTCAAAAACCATACTCCATTATAGACCAAATAGTAAGTTTGTATATCCCATTAGAGACATGAATGGATGATCAATCCAAGGGAAATAAAAAATAAGAAACTGCCACAGCATTTTATTTTATTCACAAAATAATTGAAGGAGGAGAACCAGGAATTAATCAGTGGACCAGGAAGTAATCAGTACTTACTTTTCAACACACATTTTTGTCAAGTTTCTTCAACTTGTCAAAATCGTCGGTAAGTGACAAAACTGCAGCACAGTGTAGCTCCACAAAATACAAAACATAGACTATTCTTATTATCTCAAATGCATTTAATGACAATTGAACAGGAAAGATTGTTCACTTTGTTGTTTATACACAAAACAGCGCTTGTTTCCTCTTTTCTACACCCAAACAATTACACTTGTCTAACTGAATCTTTACTCCATAAAATTTAAGGATGAGTTTGGGGAAAACAACAGCATTTGTATATTCCAAATATAGTCTTTAGTATTTCAAAATTGAGGTATACAGGATTTATTTATTTATTTATTTATTTATTTATTTATTTACTTGTTTGTTTGTTTGTTTGTTTGTTTGTTTGTTTGTTTGTTTATTTATTTCACAAAAAGTAACAAAAAAGAAACCCGTTAACTTAAACTGATATTGGTATTATAGAGAACGTTGACCCATCAAACCTGTTCAGTTATTTTTGCTGAAATTTCACTCATAAATTTACGGCTAGGTTATCCTAGTATTTTTATGTGCATTTTGCAGGTTCGATTAGCGACATATAGTGCAACCGCATTTCATATGTTTGACCATCTTCATATTACTAGGCCCTGCTGAACAACAGCTTTCTTTAATGAATGAAACTAGACGATGGAATTCGACTTCCCTTTGAGTCTGTGGGACGGCCACCCAAAGAGCGATGTTACAAACACTGTGCTACCAGTAACCGGTTATCCTGGTATCTTATTAAATGATACAATTTAAAATATAACCATGCAAAATTTCTCTTAAATTAAGAGTATTACATTCGTGACCCCGCACATTGATACCAATTCTAAGTGTGCTGTAAAACATATATGGGTGTAACATTAACAAATGTTTGCTGTTAACGTCTAGGTCTCCATAATGTATTTATTCACTGGGTGATCCGATCTGAAGCTTCCCAATATATATACAAAACCAGGAATATGAATACATTAATAATTGATGTTGTATTTTGTTTATATTCCCCATTTTTTCTAAAATAGAGAATAGTGTATGATTAAATTTATGTATGTCTCAAAATTTCATGATTTTATCAATAAGATAACATCAAATAACATATATATATTATTTAGTCTTAAGATTCCTGATAGGTTAAGATGATTTCGTACAATAATCTGGCATCCCCGTACAATCCAATACCCTTAAATCCAATGAACAACGCTCGAATGACCAGACAGTAAGCAGACGTCTTTCATAACAGATCAGCTGTTTTTCACAAAAGCACTCACCCTTTGATAATTTGATATAGCGTAGATTTAAATAAAACTGACGTGTTTACCGCATATTGTTTTGTAGTACTATATATTACCACGACGGCGCATGTGTCCACTGATAGATATTTACGGAATCGTTGTCAGACTAGTACTGCTTATGTAGAGTAGAGCCTTATTTACAGACAGA